GCTGTAATTGAGTCCCGTCGGGTGTACCTGACAACATCCTGAACAGACTTTAACATGTGCAGAACTCTGCTACCAGTGTTCTCACCCACACTAAGCCCTGGCAGCACATCACCCCGACCCCATTCACCTCCACTGGCTCCCGATAAAAACCTGCATCAGCTGATGGGTAAATAAATATTTTTCAATTCTTGCAGAGATTTGTTAATTGATATAGTCTTTATGGTTTGTCTTGTAGGAGGGGCTTCTGGTATAAAGCCAGGGGGTAGATGCTCCTCAGGGGGGTTAAGCTTGGGCCTGGAGGCTTCATGTACTAGAGCCCAAGAGTCAGGGGCCTAGTAATGGTTGTCTTACTACAGATTTTTTGTTTATTGTATTTATAAAATATTTTTTAACTCTGCATGCTTGCACATCTGTACTTGCACCGGACTGGTGACAACAATACAATTTAAGCAACAGATGAAGATTTCGAGTCATGTCTCCTTCTTCCACAACAGGGCTCAATATTACACTGCCTGTTACATTATAAATCGAAATGATAATCACAATTGATTGATAAAAACTCTCAGTTCTAACTGAAAAGCTTGCAGCAAGTAATCACTGCAGACACAGCTTTTAGCTCTGAGGGACATTTGTACTGAGAAAACATACAAACAAAAAAACACATGTTGGAAGATTAGAAACTAAATTAGATCAAATTAAAATAAAATTCAAATCTATTTTTGGACAGCAATCTTCAGTGACCAATTTCAGTCCAGGACAGAGACAGAGACCTAAGCCTTTTTTAAAAGTGTCACGCTTTACTTTATGAAAATATCTCCCTGAAAACAAACTTACTTGACAGTATCAGCATTGATATATCATAGTATATCAGTGACATGGAGTCCCCCCATCCCTGACCACTCCCAGCCCAAACATCCATCTGTTCATAAGTAACAGTATTTTGTCACATATCCCATCAGAACAGATCGGAATCTGTGGTACTAGGGGTACCTTCAGGAAGTTTCCAAACAAAGCTCAAGTTTTAGAATGATTTGTTAGATGAAGCAAATGACGACAAACTTACTTACCTACTCACCACTATGCCGATGGAGGCGGGGTCCACCTGCTAAGCCTGCGGACGTTAGCATTTCCAACGGTCCCTAAATGCACCTCATCAGAAGATAGTAGGGGACATTAAGGCTAAAAACAATGGAACTGACCTCTAGTCAAGTCGAGTATGAATGTCAGGGCTTCAATTGTATTGGATTCTGCTCTAACAAAGTTTACCCCTGAGACTCCTAAAGTGTTTTGTGGACTCAAACACTTCACCCACCCCTCCATCGGCATAGCGGTGGGTAGATAATGAGTGAATTAACTCAACTTTTGGGTGGAATATCCCTTTAACTTTAAATGCAGAGATGGTGTCTGCCTCCTGAACCCTGAGTGGGAGCTGGTTCCACAGGAGAGGAGCCTGGTAGCTCTTACACACTCTAGGAACCACAAGACAGCCTGTGTTTTAGGAACGAAGTGATGTATTGGGCTAACACTGTCTTATTAGATCTTCGATATATGAAGGGGCTTGATTGTTAAGGGCTTTATATGTGAGGAGCACTTTTTTGCATCATGCTTTTACTGAAGTTGCTGACACATTTGTTTTGCATCCTAAGTTGAATAAAAATAATGTTATTTTGCTAAATAAAATGTAGTCAGTTATCAAAAAGCATGGACATTGGAATCCTCCAGCTACCTTGAAGTAAGTATTGGTTTAACCGTTAATGTTTTATTCGCGACCTTGTTAAAGCATACCTCATCAGAGGGTCTCTGTATTTGCAGAGTAATGAGATTCTTATGAAGTCGATCATATAATGTGAATTTGCATTCAGTCACTTAGTGCTCATCATGGGACAGTAGAGATATTATAACGATGAAACTAAACAGTTCAATCAATTAATTTCCAGGCGAGTGTATAAACCATTCTGTTATATCTCATGTCTAATATATTCTGCAGCATTCTGGGTATGCTACCTGCTGTATCTCAACCTGTTTGAAATGCTGCTGCAGTAATTTCGGTAACACATAATGTTCTAAAAGAAGTGCTCATTTCTTAGGTGTTTAAATTCAGCACTTCAGGCTTTTGGAGCTGCAGGCTTACTTGGATTAAACACTGTAATTTTTTAAATATTGTTAAGGTGTGTTTTGACAGAACACAAAGCAGATGTGTGCCGACGTGTGTGTGTGTGCATGTGTATGCGTGTGTCTGCGCTTCTTATTTCCCACCAGTCTCTCTCTTTTGTTATACTATCTCTTTTTTTCTATGAAGTAGATTCATAAAGCCTAAGTACAGTTTCAGTGCACGTTTATCACACATTTTGCATGTGCACAGGTACGTCATCACCTCGTTACGCCACAATCTGGCTGGCCACACCTATTATCCTGCCCATTCATACAATCTTTTACTGATAAAAGGGTCCAACAAAGAAAATAAATAATAAAGGGAAATACCCTCTTACTGAGATTTAATGTTCTTGACCGTCAGGCTTTTTTACAACAGCATTTGACCAAATAAAATGTTGAAGGAAATTCATAGGAATTGCCACAGTTAAAGGTCCAGTGTGTAAGATGTAGGAGAAAGGGAACTATTGGCAGAAATTAAATGTAGAATAATCCTCATGATGTTTTCACTAGTACTGTAGTTTTCTTTATCTCAGAAAAGGCCCTTTATATTTAAATACTTTATATTTACATGGAGGGGACCCTCTCTTCAGTGGCCACCATGTTTTTTACATTAGTCCAGACTGGACAAACTAAACACCTTTTGAGTTTTTATGACAACTGAAGCTACCACAGGTTGTTTTCATGTTTGGAAGGAGAGGGTGAGGTGAGGGGTGTTCAGCTGCAACATGCAACTAGATATCACAAAATTCTACACACTGTACCTTTAATGGCTTCACATGCAGGTGTTGTATGTTTATGCTGCTGACAAAAAGCAGTTAGAGTCAGAATTGAGGTCATCAGGTTAACCACGTTAGATTAAATGAATGTCTTGTCACATTGCTTAAACTATACAACACAATGTGAAATTCTCACTGTGGCTCATGATTGGGTTTAATTAATCTTAAACATTTTAAGATGTGGACATAAAGGGCCACAACAAGATCGCATGAAATACCAATAAATAATGGGATAACTGAATAAAGCCGTGGTTTGTGAAGCAGCTTTAATTAAATGTGGAGACATGAATTCAATTGTAATAACATTATTAAATATTTCAATGGCTCTCTAGGTTCAAAAAGAATATTTCCTACAGTTCCTGGTTTAAGCTGAGTTCTCCACTCTGGAGTCACACATGCCGCCAAGTAAAAGTCTCTTTTGCTGGCTGTGCTTGATGCCAGGATGGCAGGCACATTCTGCACAAGCAGTGCCAGGTTACAAAACATTCTTTCCATCAGAACAAAACCTCAGAGTAGTTGAGGCTGCCACCTCACCCTGCGGCTGTATATTTCTGTCACTGGAGTTCTCCACATCAGAGAAATATTCTCCTGTTGAACACGATGGGGTCTGATTTCAGGCGGTGGGCACAGGGTGCGTAGCAGTTGGCTTCCATGCTTCTCTTTTAGTTCTTGAAAACACCTGTAAGCACCTGACTCACTTGAAGCTCTAACATATCAAACAGAAGGCTGCACCTTGTGTATGTGTTATTAAAATTAGTGCTGAAAAACAGACACAGACATTCACTATCTGTCCGCCATACTGAAGTTATAGGCTATGAATTACAAGCAAAACTTCCCACCATTGTTTTACAGCAGATCTGCACATTTACCTCTGAACCAGCCAATAAGTCAAAGTCAAACTATACACCTGGGCCAAAATAGACCCGTCCCCACTAAAGGATAATCCCTTCAAGACATCTGCTAACATTAGCTATGATGGGAACAGGTGCTACGAACCTGACAGGGCCAGGAGGAGAGCCCCCCCAGCACCTGGCAGTTCATGTTGTTTATATATGTTTTACAAAGCCTATAGTTAGTTCTGGATCAGGTGAGTCCTGAACCAGCCCTTAGTTATGCTGCTATAGGCCTAGACTGCTGGGGGAACTCCCATCATGCACTGAGCACCTCTCCACTTCTCTCTGTCTCTCTGCCCCCCCCCACACTCTTTTATTTATTTTAATACATGTCAATAACTATGTTTCTTTTTCCTCCTATAGTCCCTCTCTCTCTCTCTCTCTCTCTCATTGCAGGTATCTCTGACTCCAGAACAGCAGGAGAACAACGATTATTATTATTAACAATAATACTTATTAGGATTTTATTGTTATATGAATTGTTACTGTTATTAATAATCAATAACTTCTTTACACTGTTATTGTTTCCATTTGAACTAGTCAGATCTGATACCTGATGGTGCTCAATTGTTCCGGGTCTCTCTCGCCTCGCGCTCTCCCCCTTCTCCCCCTCCCCMCTATCTCTCTCTCTTCTCTCCCCTCTTTTCCACCCCTCTCTCCTCTCCTCCCCCCTTTCTTTGCTCACCCCAACCGGTCGAGGCAGATGACCGCCCACATTGAGTCTGGTTCTAGAGGTTTCTCTCTGTTAATGAGGGAGTTTTTCCTCCACAGTCACCAAAGTGCTGCTCATTGTGGGAACTGTTGGGTTTTTATATATTAAAATAAGATTTCAAGGTCTTGACCTTCTATGTAAAGTGCCTTGAGATAATGTATATTATGATTTGGCGCTATACAAATACAATTGAATTGAATTGAATTATATATTCAATTATGGGCTGCATCAAATTGTCCAATGTCAAGGCTGTCACTCAACACTTTGGTTGTCTAAACATGTTGCCTAGGCAATGACCTGTTCTTTATAGCATGAAGTTAAGTACTTTGGTACCAGTTTGCTTTATTTACTACAATAAATGTGCTAAGAGTTCATTTCCCAACAATGTTAAGTTTTTGACATTTACTCTTTCTGTGATTTCTTCTCAATTTATTTCTTTCTCTATCTTTTTTTTCCCTCTCTTAGATGCCTTGTCATCCTCATCACCAATTTTTCCCTACCCGTCCTCCCACACTGACTGTGTTGAAGCTCATCGGGTGTGCTCTGCTGATCCCCGGTGTGAGGCATTGTACCGGGGCCTGGAGCTGTGTGCGGCTGACGCAGCCATTTCCCCACTAGGGGAGCAGGCCGCAGCTGAGTGCCTGGAGAGACGGGATGTTCTGCTGGCCAAACACCCTGCTCTGTTGGCCTGCAAGTGCCAGCGTGGTTTTCGCAAGGAGGAGCAGTGTCTGCGCATATACTGGAGGGTCCGCCTGCTGCCAGGTCAGTCAGGGTGCTGTCGGGGTGGGAACGGGTACTCATAACAGTGTGTGTGTGGATGCATATCTGAAGCTGGGTTCCCAGCCAGTATTTTTAGGAGACAGACAATGTATTAGAAAAACTGGATCATGAAAGCATCCTTTATCTCAGTTTAAGAATACTGTACAAAATACATAATTTGCAGAATGTAATTTAGGTGTAAGTGATTATCCACATTATCTTGCTTTCTCCCATTCACATCCCAGATTATTTTGGAGGCTTCTGCGGTATAAAGTCATTGTTTTTACTTCGCCAAATTTAAGATGATTCTCAGCAGAATTTTAATTTGTCAATCCATCAAATTTTCATCTATCCACACATTTGCATAACTTTTCAATCCATTCATCTTTTGTATTCATATTCACTTATGCTACACAGAGATGGGTGCATTCTACCCCAGAATGTAGTGAACAGCATGTTGGATGGATAGACAGCTTCAGCATTGTTATATTTAAAAGATTTTATAATATGTCCTCAGAGCAACACCACTTCTTCAGGGCAGACTGCACACTACAATGGCTCGCTTATAGAAAATGTCAAGGTAGTCCAGTTGGACCGAGGCTATGTCATGAGCATGCTAACTTCAGTAGAATACAGATTCACAACAGAAGCTTATATGGCCATTGCTTCCCATCACTGGAGTCAGCTCTTTGCAAGTAAAGGAAATCTGATTTATTCTGAACTTGTAATATCTCTCTCTGGTAAGTAAATGGTTATTAATGCTAACATTGGGTATGCAGCAAATCTTACAAATTGCACCTTCAAGACACACTGCCATTTGTGTCAAGCAGCTGTTCAGCAGAAGCTAAAGAGTCTCACTTCAAATGAGATATGTTGTGCACTTTCACTGTACTTTGTTCAAAACTGCTTTTAATGAAAACTTCCTCTAAGCACATTTGTGCAGGAATCTGAGTAGAAATTTGAAAAATACAACATAAGCAATTAATATGACATATCCAAGACTTTTTCCTTGTTTAATTGTAATGTGATCTTTTGATAGTGCAATGCAGTTTGACTATGAAACATAAGTAATGTCTGTCTTTCAGTTAGTTTTTACTGCAGTAAGACATTTGAACAATGCCCCAAACTCAGAATATAATATTTGTCTTTAGGCGGCTGTGGCTCAGGAGATAGAGTGGGTTCCCCACTAATTAGAGGGTTGCAATTCAATTCCCATTTCCCCCATTCCGTGTGCCGAATTGTCCTTGGGCGAAATACCGAACCACAAATAGCGCCTGACGGCTTTGCCAGTAGTGAATGATGTGTGATAGAGAAAGTGCTGCAAAGAGATGAACTGTATGAGTGTGTCTGTGGGTGAATGGCGTAACTGTACTGTAAAGGGTTTTGACTGGTCATCAAGACTAGAAAAGCTCTATATAAATGCAGATCCTTGACCATTTATTTTCTATAAGTTGGTTTGTTCCTGTCACAATGTGATCAGGGTCCAAAACAAGCACAGATCACTCACCAAATGCAAGTAATAGTAATAGTTCACCCAAAAATGAATATTCAATCATTATCTACTCACTACTATGCCGATGGAGGGGTGGGTGAAGTGTTTGAGCCCACTCAACACTTCTGGAGTCTCAGGGGTAAACATTGTCAGAGCAGAATAAAAACATAATTGTTGTTGTTTCATTACGTCTGAAGCTTTGGTCACTAATTTCTTCAATTGTATTGGATTCTGCTCCAATACAAACAAAGTTTTCCCCTGAGACTCCAAAATTGTTTACCCCCCTCCATCGGCATAGTGGTGAGTATCTACTCACTGCATTAAACTGACCAGTTGAAAAGGATTTTGGTGAGCAAATGTTTCAGTTCCCCTGACATTGGCAGAATGAGCAAAGACTTAATTCTTCAGAGAGGTTGAGAGAATTATCCTTTATTAATATGCACAGTATTACAGCAGCCCGAGTACATAATAAATTCAGGTTTAAAAAAATTAATGAAATAAAAAATAGAATAGCACTATATAAAAACAATTAAACAGGATACAAAAAGTACAGTAGTGAACAATGATATTAACAGTCTTTGATCCATTAAATTGAACATGATTGTTTCGCGCAGCTCTCAAAGGAAAGGGTCTCCTACAGATGTTGTGAATTTTGGGTAATACACATTTCCATTGTGTGTAGGGTTGTTAGACTCTGACAAAATAAAATTTGCAAGTACTTGCAGAAATTGCACCGATGTGCTGATTTACTCTTGAGAACACACATGATTGTGTTCACAGTGCAGCTAGTTGTTCACACAAATATGTGGTTAAAAAGCAAATATAGCTTCAGCTTCATAGTCTGACCAAACTTGTAGGAATTGCTGGTCAAAACCTGCAGGAATTGCAGTTTGACCAACTCTTTCTTTTTTCAAATGTATCATCACCTTCACGGCCTGTTAATTAAATAAATGTATATGACATTACACCGGCAACATACATACTGGGGATCGCAGAGCAGACAGCCTGCTACAACTAAGCTAAGAAGAGTGTGGGAGTACTCTGCCCACTCTGGGAAAAGATGGCTTGTCGAGGATGGCTGTTCAGGTACACACACATATATGATGAGGTCTCTTGACCCACACACGTCCTGTGGTCTGCTCCCGCATCAGAGTCCAGCCTGCTGCAGGAGCCCAGAACCAGGTTACTGGCATGCTCTTATTGACTGACTGATTCTGCACAGCTGTCCGATCACCGGCTGAGCCACCCCTCCCTGTCGTCCAGCAGGTGCCCTAACCACACCCCCTGCCACAAATAGTTATCAGCATCCTATGTATTGTTATGTAGTTCAAGCCATAGTGGTCACACAGTTTCTGACTGTCCTTCACACAACATTAACATTAACATTAGTATAGTATTGTTCCAGTCTGTGGGTACAAAATATACTGGCCACTATGAAAATGATATACAACATTGCAAAACTTACAGACTAATGAGGTTTGTCAGTTTACAGATAGACAGTAGCGTGGACTGCACTTACACAACCACCCCCAGTGTTTTACAACGTATATGTCTCATCCACCCATTAACACACACAATCACACACTGATGACATAGCAGTAAGAGGTTCAGCATCTTGCTCAAGGATACTTCAACACACAACACAAAGGAGGAGGAGCACCTACTCTACCTCCTGAGCCAAGCATCCCCGACTGTCCCTTGTTCAGAAAGCAGTCGGAAGTGCAGTGATGTGCACACACATACAACATTTTTGCAGTCTTGGGGATATTGCCATTGAAATAAACTTAAACCACTGGGTCCTCACTTCCACAGTTGACGGGAGGACAAAAAGGCTGTTGTGTTGGTCCTTGCATCCAACAAGAAAGCATTTTACATGCTCTTGTTTTTCTCTCTTGATGTCAAGAGGGGAACAAAATCAGACTGGCATGTTTGCACACAGTTTTACTGAATGACGGATCAAGAGAAGAGACGCTCTGTACACACACAGGAGACACATAAATGTTGAAAAAGTGCATTATGCATTATATGTTCCCTTTAAAGGGTAAGTCTGGTATTATTCTTTCTTCTTATTGTCAACAAATCTAACGAAAATGCCAAAGCCAGCATACACGTCTGTTTCAATACTTCCAAACTCCTGCTGGTTTTTCTTGAAGTTAAAAATCTTTGAAAAATAAATAAATATATGCAACTGCTGGCAACTTTCAACAAATGTCACTCACACTGGAGGAACTAGTGCATTTGTAGGGTGCTATTTTCAGCAACAGAGATGTGGGGCTATTTAAGCACTGCAGTGCACCTATGATGATCAGGTTGTGACTTGTTTCAAGAGGTTATCCAACTACTGTTTCTGTGTCAAGTCAACGTACATTAACAATAGCTGAGCATATGAAGAATAAACAGTTTCAATTAATTTCTTTATGTAGTTGTGCTAAAAAGGATTACGAGGAGCTGTAGTGCAGGAGAGGTGAAGTTCACCTAATAGGAAATTATGAATAATGGCGCTAACTAATGGAGCTAACCTTTATTCTCAGCAGGCATTGTGATGCAGCACCAGCTTTCCAAGTTTAACGTTTTGTAATTTTTCTTTGTACAGTCATTTAAAAAAGCTGTCAGAAGAGTGAATGATAAATGAAACGAATGGCTGTGGATCAGAAGGTAGAGCGGGTCGTCCTCAAACTAGAAGGTCCGCGGTTTCAATCTCGGTCTCCCCCATTCAGCATGCTGAAGTGTCCTTGGGCAAGATACTGAACTCCACATTGCTCCAGATCAAGTTGTCATCAAGACTACCAACTCTCATATAAAAATACTGACCATTAACCATTTCATTTTCACCTAATGTAAAGTTGATCTTAGCCAGGTAGGAAAAAATTACAATATTCATTGTGCCAATCAAAGGCTACTAGCAGCTACTTGTAATGTAGATTTTTCTTTTTGAGTGTCACTAAGTTCATGAGTTAACCTTGTGAATCTATCAGTATCAGTAAAATATTAATTTGATAACCGTGAGTATTCTGTTTGATTCTGATGACAAAACGCTGATTTGGATGATGCTTAAAAGAAGTATACATATTTTTGTGGAGCGTCATTCCAGTGTGCTCAGACAGCACCACACAAATACAATAGATGAATCCTCATTTACTTGGGGTAGCAGCAGGAAGGTGTATATGTGATTGAGTAAGTCAACTAAAGTCAGGTCAAACATTACTTACAATTATTACCAAACACAAATGTGCTTTAAGGGGGTTTATCATCTTTGCAGCATATGACACCCTCAACTTAATAACAAACTTAATGTGAAAAGTTTCTTAAGAAACCTCCTAAAAATAACCTTCAAACCCCCAAAAGTGGGAAAACAATTGAAAAAAAATCTCAGAATGAGCAGTAGATAAGATAAACATGCAAGAGATATTGTGTCTATAAGATAAAGCACATAGAAAATTCATAGTATGAACAATCATTAGGAAGCAATTCCTGATTATAAACATGTGAAGACCTAAAATGAGGACAGCCC